TTTACTTCTTTCTTTTAAATCTAGAAGGCTTTCCTTTTCCTGCCTGATTGCACTGATTAGAGCTCCATACAGTGTTGAACAGAGATTATGAGAGTGGATATTCTTCTACTATGTTCCTGATCTCAAGGAGAAAGCATTCTGTCTTTTACCATGAAGTATGATCTTAGCTGTAGATTTTTTTGTAGCTGCCTTTCAGTAAGCACAGTACACTGAATGTGTTAACAGTTTGTGTCATGGTTGAATGTTGGATTAGGTCAAATGTTTTCTCTCACATATTGAGATTCTCATTGGGTGTCTCTCTGATATTATATTACTATGGTAAGTTGCATTGATTGATATTCTAACAAATCAATCTTACATCCCTGATATACATACCCATTTAGTCTTGGAACTTTATCATTTTAACATGTCATTGGATTCAGTTTCATAATATTTTGCTGGGGATTTTTACATCTATGTTTATAAGGGATATTTATCTATAGTTTTTCTTTGAATATTTTCCTCTAGTTTTGCTGAGTAACACTGTTCTCATAGAATGAATTGGGCAGTGCCCCCACTCTTTCAATTTTTTATAAGAGTTTATGTAGTCTTGGTATTAAACGTTTGATAAAATTCTCCAGTGAAGCCATTTGGGCCTGGTGTTTTCTTTGTGACAAGGATTTTAATTATAATTTTATAATAATTATAAGACTATCCATGTATCTATTTCTTCTCTAGTGAGTATTGGTAGTTTGTGTCTTTCAACAAGTATATCCATTGCATTTAAGTCAGTCAAGTTTTGGGTGTAATTTATTATACTGTTGTTACACCCGAAGAATTGCTGACACTGCATCTTCTCTCATTCCCATTATTGATCATTTGTTCACTCTCACTGTTTCTTCATCAGTGAAGCAGGAGGTTTATCAATTTTATTGATATTTTCCAGCAACCAGCTTTTGACTTCGTGGATTCTTTTCTTATTATTTCATTGATTTTAGATACTGCCCTACTTTTTCATGGCAATAGTCCTTGCTCGGGAATATTATTTTTTTCATGGTACTATTTCTTGCTCAGAATCTACTATGAATATAGCCACTTCAAATTTTTCTTAATCAGATCTACTGTGGTGCATCTTTCCCCATCTTTTTGCTTTAACGTACCTGGTTATTTATATGAAATGGACTTCTTGTAGACAACATATAATTAGTTCCTCTTGTAAAAGTCTAACCCTACATCCTCTGCCTTTTAATTGGTAGTCTAGAGCATTTACATTTAATGTGACTATTCACATGGTTGGATTTGAATCTACCACCTTGCTATTTATTCTCTATTTGCTTGTTTATGCTTCTTTTCCTTCTTTTTCTGTTTTCTTTTTAATTATTTTTATGATTCCATTTTTATGGCTTTGCTAGTTTTTACTGTTTGCTTTAGATGGAGTACACATCTTTTTCTTACTATAGTCTTTCAAATTATTTATTCCTCATTCTTCCTTCCCATCCCCAGCCAATGCCTTTGTTCCATAGTTGTTAAATCATGTGATTTTTGCCTATAACTCTCCAACATTATATTATTGTATTCATTTTGAACTGTTATCTTTTTAAAGAGACTTAGAAAATAAGAAAACATTTCTCATATGTTTTTACATATTATATTTCTAGAGCTCTTCATTGCGTTCTGTCAGTTCAGATACCAATGTGGTTTCATTTCTCTTCTGCCTTAAATAATCCCTTTAACATTGCTTATATTGTACATGAATTATTTTGGCTTTTGTATGTCTTACAAAGTCCTTATTTTACCTTCACTTATGAAACATTTTCTAAGTGTAGAATTCTAGAGAGATAGTATCCCTCAAATTCCATTCTGTATTTGAATATTTCTTTTCCACTGTCTTCTAGCCAGCATTGTTTCTGACAAGAATTCTGAGGCCATTTCTATTTCTGTGTTTTGGTATATAATATGATTTTTCTTTAATTGCTCTTAAGGTTTTCTCTCTCACTTGTTTAAAGAATCTTATTTTTATGTGTCTTGTTTTTGTTCGTGTTTCTCGGGTTTGGGGGTTGGGGAGCTTTTTAGATCCTTGGATTTATAGCTTTCATTAAATTTGGAAAAATGTTACCATCATTTCTATAATTTTGTCTCCTCTATCATACTAGAAATACAATCACACGTATATTCAACCATTTGAGTTTGTCTCACAGCTGACTGTTCTTTGTTCATTTTTCACATGGTTTTAGATTTTCAGTAGTTTAAATATTTAGACTAAATAGCTAAATCTTCAAATTCACTAATCTTAGCTCTACATTCTGAAAAATTTTACTTATTTTTCATCTAATCAGTACCATTGAAAAAAAATCAAACTCTGGCACATTTAGCTTTATAGTAGGGTGTTTTGCATTTCACTTTTCATATCATGTTTTATTTTGGTAACATAAAATTCGACTGCACTTCTCACTGACTTTATTAAATAGTAGTATTTGGCCTTCATCCCTTTCCGTTTTCTCTTTAGTTGAGCTTTGTGAAAAAACAATTCTTTGGTTACCTTGTTTCATAGGCCCTTGTATACATAGTACTATGATTGTTGTCAGTACCACAAGATTTAAATCCAAACGTTGATGGTAGACACAACTTCTCCAGACAGGAGAGAGTCACGGTGTTATATCTCTCTTAAAGAGCCAGAATAGAAAGCTTTGGGTAAGTTGATAAATGTGTCTTCTTTTGAGGTTCAACAGTGACTTGCAAAAGAGTTTCTGGGTGACCACCATATGAAGAGACAGGCAGTGTACACTTAGCTAGGAAATGCCACATCTAGACAAAGCCTGGTCGGGCCAGGGATTTAGCTCAGTGGTTCCAGCGCCTGCCTCGAAAGCACAAGGTCCTAAGTTCAATCCCTCCCCGGTGCCAAAAATTAAAAAAAAAATTAAAAACAACAACAACAAAGGTATTTGGGCCGGGGATTTAGCTCAGTGATTTCGCTGCCTGCTGCGCAAGCACAAGGAAGCGAGTTCGATCCCTGGTACCAAAAATAAAATAAAATAAAATAAAATGAAATAGACAAAGCCTAGCGGTCTCAAGTTGCTTAGTCTACTAAGGCAAGTCCTAGGACCCATGGGAGTGAGCTAAATATGTTAGAGTTGGCAGCCTGTGTATCATAAAACTATTTTTAATTCCTCTCAGTGGTAGCTGTTTGCGTTCCCTCTCCTTTAGTATTTAATACGGTCTTGAGATTTTTAGCTTTTCTCAGCTGGATCGGTGGAAACTAAAGGAAAATATTTTTGATTCATGTTGGTAGCATCACCCCAGGGAAAGAAATCCATGAAGAAGGCTAATTTCAGGGAAAAGGAGTTGCTTGGTTGACTACAATTCATACCGAGGAGAAATTGTTTCAGAGGGTAACTTTGGAGAATCTTCATTGTATTTATGTGTGCTTGGAAATGAATTTCCAAGACTAGTCTTCTACTCTCCCTTTCCTTCCCCACCCCCAGGAACGTGTATTCTCTCCCATTCTTATACACCTTTGGTCTATAATGGTTGGCAACTAATGACTAAGAGGTAAACTGAAAGAAAATTTAAGGATTTTTTCTCAATCAAAGAGTCATTTTTATTTCAAATGAGCACTCCTAAAGACTAAACAGTATTCTCTGTTTTAGGAATTAATATTTAATGGTGGAGTTCTGATAGAAGGAGATCTATTGGGGACTTAGAATCCTACCCCACGCTGCTTGAATGGTACCCACTGTGCCTACAGGTTTTTATATCTATATACATCTCTCTTAGCTTAGCCCAATCTGGTTTTTGTTGGTTTTTTTTTGTACCGGGGATCGAACTCTGGACCTTGCGCTTATGAGGCAAGTGGCGGCACCACTGAGCTAAATCCCCAGCCCCCAATCTGTTTTTTTAAAAAATGTACTGTTCAGGGCTGGGATTTAGCTCAATGGTTCTGCCACCTGCCTCACAAGCGCAAGGTCCAGAGTTTGATCTCCGGTACCTAAAAAAATCAAACCAAAACAAAAAAATGTACTGTTCAAAGTTAAAACTTCAGATAGCTATTTGGGGAAAATTTTGTCTGTACCTCCCAAGGTAATTATCAATTTAAAGTCTGAAAAAATGATGAACTGTGTATTTATGATAAGCATCTATAAAATATTATTGTTTGTCAATGAATTAAAGCTTAGATGAAATGACTATAAGATATATAGTTGAGTTGGTATTCCATGATGGTTTATAAAGCTTGGTTTATGAGATGGACAATTTATGAATTTCTAAACCAACACAATAATTATTTGCAAGTTGCATGTTCTTAAATGTTTTGAAAAGAGTATGATATTTAACTTTTTCTACTTTACTATGTTTCAGAAAAGATGTAGAGGGATAAAATGAGTAGATTTTAGAACGGTTCTCTAAGAAACAGTACATGAGACCTTTATTTTCTAATTACATTGCCATTTGACTCCTTTGGGGGCTTTCTCAAAGAGAAACCATGCAATATTTAAGCTCAGGTGTCTAATTTATTTCACTTAACATTACGGTCTCAAGGTGTATCAGTTTTCCTACCATGACTTAGTTATCTTTATGGCAGAGTAGTACCCCATTGTGTGTAAATATCACATTTTCTTTATCCATTTATCTGTTGATGGACATACAGGCTGTTTCCAATATTAATCTTTTAGGAATTGTGCTGCTGTACACGAGTATGTATGGATCGCTGTAACATGATATCTTTAACTCTTTTGGGAAGATACCTAGAAGGGAAATAACTGGGTCGAATAAAATTTGTAGCTTTAGTTTTTTGAGGAATCTCCATACTTATTTTCATAGTGGCTGTACTGGTTTACACTCCCACCAGCAATGGAGAAGGGCTTCTTTTTCCCCACAGCCTCATCAGCATTTGTTATTATTTGATTTCTTGCTGGTGGCCATTCTCTCTGGGGTAAGATGGAGTCTCAGTGTTGCTTTAATTTGCATTTCTCTCACAGCCAGCAATATTGAACACTTCTTCATGTATTTCCATTTTTATCTTTTAGATATTCGGAGAATGAGTACCTTCAAATGATCACGAATATACAAAGCTGTCCATGGAAACGACAAGCAGAAGAATTTGAGAACTTCAGGTAAAAGGATTTTTCAAAAACAATATGAATGGAAAAAAATGTTTTGCTCATTTGCTTTTTAGGAAAAAGGCAACATGTTGTTAAAATAAAACTAGAACTAGGGGCCTCCTGGCCATCAGGGTGATTAATTTTAAGACCTTTTTGTGAGACATGGGATTCCATCCCAGTTCCGTACACAGAAATCAGAAGTTTTGCTACTGGGATTAATTACAAAAATTGAAACTTTGAAAGAAAGTCTTTAAAATGCTTTTTATTACATTTTAGAAGATGTCACTTATTTGTACCATTTCTATTTGGAATCTGTTTGTTTATTTTATAATTAAAAGGCGTGGCATTAGAGAATGTTTGGAGTACATAAAAGGGAGAAAATCATCCATAACCCTATCACTTGAGAACAAAACCTGTTTGTGCTTTTTTGCATATACTCTTCCATTTTTTCATTGGCTTCTTCATGCAAGCAATCTTCTGGAGTGTGTGTTGTTCCACTCTAGGTAATAACCTACCGACAAACCATCAACCCGGCAAAATTAGGCTTACAGTTGATCACTAAAGAAATACCTGTCACAGGCACAGAGGCTCATGTCATTCATCCCAGCTACTCTGGAAGCTGAGGCAGGAGGATTTCAAGTTTGAGACCAGCCTGGGCAATTTCGTGAGAAGTTGTGTCAAAATAAACAATAAAATAAAAAGGCTGGAGATGTAACTCAGTGGAAGGGCACTTGCTTAGCATGTGCAAGGTTCTGGGTTCAATCTCTAGCATTGTCAGGCAAAACAAGACCAAGCAAACAATCAAAGAACAATTCTGTTCAAGTAGTATGCTGGATGGATACTTATTTGGTGCCCCTTCCTCAATACTTCCGAATATGAGAGCTAGGCCAGTTACCTCTGTGCTTGACTGATGTAGACCTTTGTGGGTTCTACTTTGTGGGCTCTACTTGGTTTTATTTTGTTGCCACATTCTGATTCTCTCCTGTGCACCCCAGTCAGGGTTTGAGCTGTGTTAAATTGTTTTATCATATTGCAATCAAGGGGCGTGCCTCTGTCTTCACTTGTTCATATTTTCAAAGTTGACTTTAAGCAGTAAGTCTTAAAAAATCTTCCTAATGAGACTCTGCTTCCTTCTAAAGTACTCTAGGAAGTACCTGCTGCTTGGTTTTCCTTTCTGTGGGAAGCCAGATCTTCTTTTGTCCCTGTTCTGGCGGTTTATGCTGGTGTGGTTAGAGAAACTGCTTCTGATTCTGCTATCAGTATCAGAGGGGTCTGGTCAGCCCTCTTCGGGTGAAAAAGTAACTTTCTGTTTGGGTCAAAACTAAAAGATTTCTTCCCTACATTGGGCAGACACATGGATATCAAGCCTTCCTGCATCCTGGCTGTCATTTCAGAGTGAGAGGCCAGAAAAGGGATTCAAGTTTAACTATTTCATATTTTCTGCCACACAATCCTATTCAAGACTATTCAGAGATCCTATTCAGAGATCTTAGTGGCAGGGGGACCTGAAAGAAAGTTGCACATTCATAATCTGAACTACCACAGGGCCAAGAGTGGCAGCAGAGTCCGATTTTGAGAGACCGTTCACTGAGTAGGCAAAAAAAGAAGAGGTTACTGAGCTATTGGGCAATTGAAGATCCATCCAGACAATTATCTGTAAAGACGAGTGAGTAGTGAGAGTAGAAATCAAAGTAGGGGTAGAGGAGCTTTTAATTCCACCTGTTAAATTGATTCAGGACAAACCTCCTGAGGGTAAAGCAAACAAAACGAAGTACCCTAAAACCCATTTGAAGGCTTTGGGAAGCTACTGGCACAGGGAGGATTTTCAGGACTGGGATCCAAAGGAAGAGGAAAGCCAAGAGAAGCCAGCCCAGCATTTGGGGCTGCACTTTCTCAGGAGGAACTTGCACAGTGTCCTTGTGAAGTGGCTCAGTGGCAGAGAGGCTGAGCAGGGCTTCCGGCAATCCCGAGAAAAGGACAGTTCTCAAATCCTCAGCTGGATTTAAGAGAGCTGCCCTTAGTCTAATGGAAGCAAAAGTAATCCTCTCTGGAAGGAAGTAACATTATTCAGAGCTTTAAGTGATTTCTGCAACTTTTCTTAAATAATGTCTGATTCAAAAAAATATTTTCTCTTTAAAGAGTTTTCTTTCTCTGTCTCCCTTCCTCCCTCCATCTGTTCCCCCCTTTTCTCTTCCTTCCTTCCTTGCTTCCTTCCTTGCTTCCTTCCATCCTTCCTTCCTTTTTTAAAAAACAAAAATCAGCAGTCTTTTAAAATCCAAACCTGCATGAGCATCTGAGCTGGAGACTGATGGGTAGGAGTCACATGATGGATGATACATTTCCCCTCAGTACTGTCTCAGTATAAAAGTGCATCAGTAACCATGACAGTTGCCCGATGGCCTGTCCATCTCTAGGGCCAACTGAAGTAAATATCTGTGGCTATGCCACTTATGGTTTGTCGTCATTCAAGAGAATAATCATGGTGACATTTATTTATTTACTTGAATATGTATTATCACATTTATTTTATAGATACACTATATTTGTAAGCTAAATTACATAAACTCTCAAAAGAAGTCTGGCAATTAAATCCTAATAAATCATCCACTTTTCTAAATTTTTTACTAATACAGCTGGCCAAATCTGAGAGTCTCTGCCTATTTATAAAACTAGTATTATAGAAACATCCTCTGTTATTATAGATGTCAAGTAGCTAAATAGCTTTCCATTTTATTTATTTATAGCATTTTATATCAAATTGAAGGAAAGTAAAACGTGATCCTTAAAAAGCAATAATTTTAGCAGCTATTGCAAAAGGTACGTTGAACTCTGAAGAATGGGAGCAAAATGAATATATTCTAAATCCATTTGTAACCCAGTTGTTGAAACTTTCTACAGCTGACACCTGGGGCCTATTTGAAAACTGTGGGACTCCTGCAGTCAAATGGTCTAAATATAAGAGAGCTTCAAAGTTATTTTTCTTAAATAAACATGCTACTTGCTAACAAAATGAGTGATATAATGCTGTGTATAAAAGAGGGGCTCAAAAAATAGTTATTAAATAAATGGATGCCTGAAAGTAAACAAGAAAAATGCAGGGTTTCTTTACTGATCTCAAAGAATTTAACCATTGTCAGTTTGGAAAGACAAAAAACAAAAATATGAATATTGATGATTTAATGCCAAAATGACTTGGATAAATTCTGTGATATATCAGTACAAGATCACTGTGGGGTAAAATCTGCTGAAACATTTTGTGGAAAGGGGCAAGACTTGAGCTGTAGCTCTGGGGATGGACAGAGCACAGGGAGAGACCAATCTGAGAATAATGAGGTCAGGAATAAAGGGCAGTTAGTTTCAAGGCCAGCAGGGTGGGAGCCATGAACTTGTACTACAGCGTACTAGGGATAAAAGGAGGTAAGTGTAGAAAGATGGAGACGGTCTGATGATGCAGAGTGCTTTAATTATCAAAGCCCATAGGGATTCTGCAGATACCAGGAACCCAGTAGAGCTATTCCCAGCAAGGGAGTTATATGATGAATTTATCATTCTAGGGAAAGTATTCAGCCAGCATAATGTGGTGTGAATTGGAGCGTTGGGAGGGAGGGAGTTCGTAGTCCAAAGGAGTCAGGGTAGTTAGAGGCTGGTTGTAGAAATGACCATAGAAATTGAGAACCTAAGCCCTCAGTGGTTAGCTATGAAAATATCAAGGGAGTGACCCTTGGTCATGAGCTCTTTGGGAGATGGTCTGTCCTATCTTTGCATCTCCAGTGCCCATCGTATAGATGATGCCCAAGCAATGGTCACATATCTGAAGACTTGGTAGGACTTGGTTGCTTATTAACTTCCAGTTCTGTACTTAAAGGAGAAAAAAAAGAACAGAGTCATATAAGAAATCTTGGGTCTGGTTAACTGGAAGAATCATGCGGCTACAGATAAATAGCAAGATTTCAAAGGGAAAATGCCTTTGGGAAGACAGCCCATTCTGTGTTTGAGCTGACTCTGAGACACCTGAATATACAAGATCTTTCTTTGGTCTGGGAACAAAATACATTTTTAGAGAAAATGGACTCTCCCTAGAAAGAAAAACAACTGTGTTTAAAGGTGTCTTAGGTAAGAAGTAGGCCTCTAAAATCTGTGTTCTCAGCAATTCTTTCTTTTGTGCCATGCAAGACTCTGACTTGTTTTTATAGATTGATAAGCTTCTTTCTATTCTATGTGGAATTGTGAGTCTTACAGCTTTGGAGCCTGGTGTTTATGCCTCTACATCCCTGAGCCTTTACCTGGAAACATGAGAGGTTTAACTGGAAAGTTTTAAAACCCAAAGTCCATGTGAGAGGGTTATTAAGTCCCTTGAGATCATGTATGGAATTTTGTAGATATTTCTGGGGAGAGGATCTATAACACTTACTAGTTTCTCAAGGAGTCTAGGACAGCCCAGATGAACTCAAGTATTTCCCAGGACTCTTCTGCATTTGAAGCTCTGTCTGCTCTGAGGTTGGATTTTTTATTTAACCATTCCTGTAGCCATTGTTATGACCAGCCAAGGTGTGGACCTGGCTCCCATTTACACGCTCTCTCTCCTTCACACATTCTAAGTTTCAGCTGAGAATTGGTATTTTGTTTGGTTTAGTTTTATGAGGTTCTAATTGACCCTAGGGAAAGGATTTAAGTAAGAGTTAAAGATACTTGCCCTTTTTTTCTTTGTTCCTAATTTCACTTACGAATAACTGTACAAACTCAACACCATTGAGGTTTTGCCTTCTGTGCTTTTAAATGCACTTACTGATTTTCCTGTTAGAAATACCAACCCCATCACCATCCAATACACAGGATAATTTGTGGAATGTCTATCTGGATTTCAATCTAAGAAGCGATTTCTCTTCCCAGGCCCTCCTGCTCACTTTTAGAAAGTGACGGCTAATCATTTGCTTAAGTGTGACACCCAGGCACTTGAGAATAAATCAAGATGCTTAACTTGAAATTAAACTTCATACGAAGTGCCTCCTACT